TGCAAAATCAAATCTTGTTCTTACAATTGGTGCTGACAAATTCATGTGAAAAGAAGGAGGTTCTTCTCTCCATATTGCCTTGGTAGTGATTGTGTGGAGGCAACAAACAAGGAAAAATTATTCTCAAATCTTCAGACAATTCATCACTCAAGGAATTGGTAATATTAAGGGGAAATTTCTACACATGAAGGCTTTGAGTATATTGATGATATTGGAAGATTCATGAAGCGTCAATCGAGTGAAGATTATGCAAAAGAGTTTTGTATTAAGTTGTATACAAGTCAAGATCCAGATAGAAGATTTATTTTATTCAAAATTATTGTGGACTCGTGATTGTATGAACTTCTGCAATATTTGACAAAATAAAAAGGAACAATGCAAGTTCCAATGAGAAACCATTAACGAGTGCACGTAGGCAAAGCAAGGAAGAACACCAAAGCACTATAAATCCTGGTGTCTTTTGTCTCTCTTTTACTCTCACATTTAATTTTCGTAGGATATTACATGCTTAGATTTTAAATTCTTATAGTTGTTTATCATTTGTTCAATTGGTAGTGATTTACTACGTAAGGTTAAGTTTTGTTAGAATTGGAACCTAATCAAGATTTAGTGGTGATTTAAATATGAGAAACTAGTTGAGTTTAGAAGTCATTGAAATTGAATAGTTGTATAAACACATCTCGTGGAGTATTCAATCGAATCAATTGAATACCTTGTGTATCATCATTAGAATATATTTGATATTTGTGAAGTGATTAAGTGTTAACATAATCAAGTTTCAATAAAAGTATAATTCTTATCATTTCGCTCTAAATCATCCGCTCGCAAACTATGAAAAACCTTCGACAATCTATTTTTGTAAAATCGGTTGAATTTTATTTTAACTCTACTCACTCCCCCTAGAATATTTTTTTGCTCCATATTCTCATCCAACAAGTGGTACCTGAGAGAAAGGTGAATCAGAGAGACGAAAGTAAGTAAGGGAAGCGAAATGTTGATGACAACTCAAAAGACACACCGTTCCGACAAGGAAAGAGGGAAACATAACTAGAGATATCCAAAAGTCAAAGGTAAAATATACTTCAATTAGTAATGAGAGAGAAAGTCCATTCAGAAAGTTAAACAACCCTTATATAAGAAAGAGTTACCATGCCACAACAATCTAAATGAAAGGAAAATGGGAAGACAAGAACAACGTTTTAGATCATACCTCGAGAACACCATGATACTCAAGTGCCATCAAACTTTCTAGGAGGAAGCACCGCGTCTTAGCTTGTAACCTTGGGACACATGTTTAAAATTATCGTGAAACATCTCAATGATGGAAAATGCATTTAATGTACATGTTTCCCACTCCTAAAGCGATCAGACTCACCAATTCCCTTTCACATTCAACTCGACATTATGAGGCCGACACATATTATAAAAGACTTCCCGTATGACATCTCATGACAAGTCTTGGGGGAAACTGTTCTAAATCGGTCAAAGGTCCAAATTAAGAAAACTCGTCTGGTGCTTTGTAAAACAGCTTAATATTTATTCACTCTACCTATTTTTGGACTCAATAACTGACTTAGGTGTTTGAGTGATAACTTTGCAGGTCCACCATCACATAAGGAGTTCATCAACTCAATTCACATATAATTATGGTTCCAATCCAGAACAGTTAACATAAAGGAATTTGAAAAACACTTTAAACATATTGAATTTGGGTGATTTTTATGTTGAGAGTTGGAGAGATTGAAAAAACAATTGGGTAATTGAGTTTTATTTGATAACTCCAAATACTATTTTCTGGTAACTTATATTTTAATATCTTGTATTTATTTTTAAGTATAGTCAATCAAAGAGATGTTCTCCCCTCACGATGTAGATTAGTTTGACCGATCGAGTAAATAATTTTCTGTGTTCTCGTCTATTGTATTCGTATTGCAATGAATTTATTTAATTATGGTCTTGTTGTCCCAAACATTAAAGTCTTATATATTTGAACTTTAAATTCAGTTTAATATCCTTTTTAGTCTCATATCTTAACCACAATGTTCATTTTGGTCCTTTAACTTAAGAAACGATACATATTGGTCACTTGACTCTTCAAAGCGTGTCATGTTAGTATTTTTCGTCAAATTAGCAATGAATTTACTGACTCATTTTTAAAATTTTCTGTCTTTGATTAGACGAGAAGGACTAACACGATACATTTTCAAAATTTAAAGGGGCAATATGGACTTTTTTTTAAGTTAAGGGACCAAAATGAGCTTTGAAGTTAAGATGCGGGATCAAAAAGAATATTATGCCTTTAAATTATTATCAAATTTTCAGAACAATTTATAATATTGCAAAGTATTTTAGTGTATATGACTATTTTTATGAAAAAAGAGTATATATATTGAGTTGAGTCCGTCTATGTTTGTTGTAGAAAGAAAATGTTGAGCAGAATTGCATCAATTTTGTTGATTGGGATTTTGGCCTTAGCCTTTAATTTGATTTCAGATCTTGATAATGGGAGATTTGTAATTCATTAAGGGAGACATTGTCTTGAAACTAATCATTCTTGAAGATTGGGTAATAATTTCCAAGTTCTTGAAAGATTGAGGTTGTTTTCATTGGTGCTGACAAATTCCTATGAAAAAAACGAGGTTCTTCTCTCCATATTGCCTTGGCAGTGAGTATATGGAGGCTACAAACAAGGATAAGTTCTTCTCAAATATTCAGACAATTCATCAGTTAAGGAATTGGCAGGATCAAGGAGGTTATTGCTACACACGTAGGCTTGGAGTAAATTGGTGATATTGGAAGCTTCAGGAAGTGTTTATCGAGTAAAGATTATGCAGAAGAGTTTTGTATTAAGTTGTATACAAGTCAAGATCCAGATAGAAGATTTATTTTCTTCAACATTATTATGGACTAGTGATTGTATGAACTCTTGCAATATTTGTCAAAATAAAAAAGGAACGATACAGGTTCCAATGATAAACCATTGACGAGTGCACGTAGGCAAAGCGGGGACGAACACCGAAACACTATAAGTTCTGGTGTCTTGTGTCTCTCTTTTACTCTCACATTTAATATTCGTAGGATATTGCATGATTAGATTTTCAATTCTCAGAGTAATTTATCGTTTATTCAATTAGTAGTGATTTATTACGTAAGGTTAAGTTTTGTTAGAATTGGAACCTAATCAAGTTTTAGTGGTGATTACAATCTGAGAAACTTGTTGAGTTTAAAATTTGTTGAAATTAAGTTGTTGTATAAACACATCTCATGGGGTATACAATTAAATTAATTGAATACCTTGTGTATCATCATTAAAACGTATTTGATATTGTGAAGTGATTAAGTGTTAATGTAATCAAGTTTCAATAAAATAATAATTCTCATATTTTCGCTGTAAATCTTCCATGCACAAACTATGAAAAACCTCCGACAATCCATTTTTGTAAAATCGGTTGACTTTTGTTTTAACTCTATTCACCCTTCTAGACTTTTTTCTTACTCCATATTTTCATCCAACAAGTGATACCTGAGAGGAAGGTGAGTCAGAGAGACGGAGGCAAGTAAGGGAAGCGAAAAGTTGATGACAACTCAAAAGAAACACCGTTCTGACAAGGAAAAGGGGAACCATAAATAGAGATATCCAAAAGTTGAAGAAGAAATGATGATTTCTTAAAGGTAAAATATACTTCAATTAGTAAAGAGAGTGAAAGTCCATTCAGAAAGTCAAACAACCCTTATATAAGAAAGAGTTACCATGCTAGCAATAATCTAGATGAAAGGATAATGGGAAGACAAGAAACAACATTTCAGATCATACCTCGAGAACACCATGATACTCAAGTGCACTTAAAATTTCTAGGAGGAAGCACCACGTCCTAGCCTGCTAACCTAGGGACACATGTTTAAATTTCTCGTGAAACGTCTCAACAATGGAAAAGACATTTAATGTACATGTTCCTCACTCCTAAAGCGACCCAACTCAACAATCCCTCTTTACATTTAACTCGACATCATGAGACCGACACATATTATGAAAGACTTCTCATATAACATCTCATGACAAGTCTTGGGGGGCAACTGTTGTTACTCAATCAAAGATCCAAATTAAGAAAACTCATCTGCTCTTCGTAACAAGGCTTACCATTTTTTCACTCTACCTCTTTTTGGACTCAATAGCTGACTTGGGTGTTTGAGTGTTAATCTTGCAGGTCCACCATCACATAAGGAGTTCAGCATCTCAATTCACATATAATAATGGTTCTGATCTACAACAGTTATCATAAAGGAATTTGAAAAATATTTTAAACATATTGAATTTATGTGATTTTTATATTGAGTAATTGAGTTTTATTTTGAGAACTCCAAATACTATATTCTTGTAACTTATATTTTAATCTCTTGTATTTATTTAAAGTATAGTCAATCGGAGAGATGTTCTCTCCTCACGACGTGTGTTGAATTTATTGAATTATTGTCATTATTCGTTGTCCCAAACATCAAAGTCTTGTATATTTGAACTTTAAATTAGGTTTAATATCCTTTTTAGTCCAGGATCTTAACCTCAATGTTCATTTTGGTCTTTAACTTATAAAAGATTCATATTGGTCACTTGACTCTTCAAAGCGTGCAATGTTAGTCATTTTCATCAAATTAACGATGAATTTAGTGAATAATTTTTACATTTTTCCATTACTAACTAGACAAAAATGACTAACATGGTACATTTTGAAAAGTTAAGGAACCAATATAGACTTTTTTTGAAGTTAAGCGACTAAAATAAACTCCGACGCTAAGATACGAAATCAAAAAAAATATTAAATCTTTATTATTATCACTTTTTCAGAATAATTTATAATATTGCAGAGCGTTTTAGTGCATATGAGTATTGTTGTGAAAAGAGAATATATATATATATATATATATATATATATATATATATATATATATATATATATATATATATATATTGAGTTGAGTCCGTTTATGTTCGTTGTAGAAAGAAAATGTTGAGCAGAATTACATCAATTTTGTTGATTGTAATTTTGGCCTTAGCCTACAAGGCCATTAAACCTCCACCCCTAAGAAGATGTGGTTCACCAGGTGGTCCACCCATAACAGCACCAAGGATAAAGCTGAGAGATGGAAGGCATTTGGCTTACAAAGAATACGGTGTTTCAAGAGAATTAGCCAACAAGAAGATTGTATTCATACATGGATTTGGATCTTGCAGACATGATACAGTCATAGCCACAAACCTTCCATCTGTAAGTTACATACATATTCAACCTGGTTTGCTTCATTTTTACTTCAGTTTGTTGAATGATTGATTAATATATTAATTTGGTTAGGGGTTGCTTGAGGAGTTAGGAGCATGTATTGTGTCTTTTGATAGAGCAGGGTATGGAGAAAGTGATGCTGATCCAAAAAGAAGTGTCAAGAGTTTGGCTCTTGATGTTGAGGAACTTGCAGATAATCTGGAATTGGGATCCAAGTTCTATGTTGTTGCACCCCAAAATTTTCCCTCTCATGTTTTCCAAAGTATTCCCCCTGCATGGTTGATCACAAACCCTTGCCTAAGGAAAAAGAAATTTTTTTGAGTGGTGCTTTAAGCATTTCGATTGGCATTCTTTAAGACCCTTCGATTGGCATTCTGAAGGAGCACTTCGATTGGCATTCTGAAGGAGCATTTCGATTGGCATTCTGAAGGAGAATTTCGATTGGCACTCTGAAGAAGCATTTCGATTGGCATTATGAAGGAGCCTTTCGATTGGCATTATGGACAAGTATTTCGATTGGCATTATAACAGTGTCCTTCGATTGGGATTCCAAAAGGTCCATTTGAAGAGGCATTCAAAGGGTCCATTCGAAGAAGCTTTCGAAAAGCATTCGAAGGAGGTCATCAGGCCATTCGAAAGGGAGCATTCGAAGGGTGCCATCAACCCATTCAAAGGAGGTCATCAAGAGGGCACTCAAGTCAAAAGCGTCCAGGTTTATTCAAGAGACACAAATGTTTCAAAAAAGGAAATTATTTAATGTGTCCGTTTCTTGTCTCATGGAATTTAATGGCCTGTTTAATGACTGTCTCTTGCCATTACTGCACCTTCACACCCCTATAAATACAAGGCCAACATACACATTACAGAGGGAACGAAAATCACACACGAAAATTATACACACAAAACTCAACAGGAGAACAAAAAGCATTGGAGTTACGCTGCCAAAAGTCATAAGCACTTCCAGGAAGCCATACCCAATCCTTGCACAAGCCAAAGCTGCCACCCAACGAACACCTCCACGCCCAGAAATCCCAGATCGAAGGTATTCATCCAGCCAGTACCCAAATCGAAATTCCAATCTACTGGTAAGAGAGGGTAAATTATCCAACCTTGTTTTTGCATAACACATCATTACTTGTTGTTACCTTCAATTTTCCATCCTAGACAGGATCAAAGGGCCTGGGTTTGGCACCCAGGTCATGTTTTTCGTGTGCTAACATTTGCTGCAGATTTAGCCTGAAGAGACCCCAACAAGCGCAGGATCGAAGGGCCTGGGATTCAATACCCAGGCCCTGCATTTTTGTTTCGCTAACGTGCTTTTGCAGGTACAACATCCCAGATCGAAGGAGAGACCTTCTCTGGATCGAACCCATTAGCATGCTTGATCGAAGGAGGCATCTCATTCCTGGATCGAAAGCCATGACCTCCATGATCAGAAGATAATCCTCTTCCTTGGATCGAAGGCCACTCACACCTTACTGTCTGACTCAATCGAAAGGACCAGGACCCTCTCTGGATCGAAGCAGTCCATTCCCTCCCTGGGTCGAAGCTCCTTTTTTCCTTGGATCGAAGGATCCCTCTTGCATGTTATTTTTGTTTTCCATAGACTTCTTTTTTTTTTATCTTTTTAATTAACCTTAAAATCAAAAACCACGAAAACATTAGGCTAGTTCTTTTTCTATTAAAATAATCTTGTTAATTAACCTTTTAATTATCTTAACATTTTTCCAAAAAAAACTAAAATTAAATAGATTTAGATTATTTTCCCAAAATAAAATAAAACAACAAAAAAGTTTTTATTCTAGAATTTTAGACTTTATTTTCAGATTCGCGCGTTTATTTTATTGTAATTGCCTACTGGTTTGTAATAGCTTAGCTGATACCTTTTACGCTTTACTGCTTTATTCCCCCAATTTTGGACATGTAAATAATCCCCCTCCCCGAAGCCTTGTAATAGCGTAGGATTTATATTTTCCGCACTTTAAATTCTTGTATATATATTAACTGCTTAGATGTATGCTAACTAGGATTGCATGGCAAGATCTATGTTAATTTAAAATCAACCACAGCTCACCATAACATGTACAAAGATAACATAAACTGAAAATTGACACACTTGCACATGCCACTCTTAGGGTACACCTCACTTGGTTGCCTCGAACGTGGTCATTAAGTATAGGATGTTTTAGAGGTCGTCCTTTGTCCCAAGATTATAAGTTGCCTCGAAATGGTCGCCTCGATAAAAATGATCTAAGACATTAGGATTACCACTAAAGCGTCCTAATGTTGCTTTAGTGACCACAAGTCCCTTAAATCGAATTGACCTGAAAGCTCCAACGACGGTGCTACCTACTCCTCAATAGTGGGATAGCACTGTCTAAAGGACATTTACACAGTTTAATTCCTTTTTGAGTAGGTAGAGGTTCTTAAGTACTTGCTCCTTTAAAAAACAAAACACAAACTTTTCACACTTACACTTTTCGAACAAAGTTTTCAAAAACACTTCATACACTCTTGAGGACAGAAGCAAGAGTTAAAATGAAGTTTCAAACAAAACTCTTTTCAAATCCACAATCACAAAGAAAAGAAAACCTTTTGAAAACATAGTGAGCAAGTACCTAAGAGCCCGTGGATAACCACGGATAGAAAGGGTGCTAACACCTTCCCTTTCTATAATCTACCTCCCGAACCCGAGAAACATCTCGAAAAGGAATTTTTCTGTGCTTTTGTCCTTTCCTCGTTAGATAAAATAAAAGACGGTGGCGACTCTTGCTTACCGCAACACTTTGCGAAAACAAACGCAAACGCGAACCAGCATTCCAAAAACAGTCAGTTCTCGTTCCCACCGATCACAGAACTGGCGACTCTGCTGGGGATGTTATAAGTGAGGTGTACCTTAGGATTAGATCACTTGTGTTTTCAATTGTATGCTTTGTATGCTTTAAATTTTGTGGGTTTGTATCGGAGTTCTATAGATCCTAACCCGGATCTGGGGATACCCTTTAGGTAAGTAGCAACAAATTGTGAGGGAACTGTGCGGGGTATACCAACATGGTTGAAACAGTAGCTACGTTGATGTGGCACTTTGGTGAGTACCGATAACCCTTGAGTTAAGTCAAGAAGAGTACGGGGCCGCCGCGTGGTGTCGTGAAGCATCAATTGACCTTAGAACCTTACTTGACCATCTTGGCCTTTTTTAGGGGTAGTGAGATGACCGACTTTGGTGCAGTTCGAAGTTGGTAGATACTCGATACTACACTCATTGAGGATTGTTTTCTTGGAATATTTTGGTCGCCAGTTCATTGGCTAAACCAAAACGATGAACATAGAAAACAATCCAATGATATTGAGCTCCTTAGAACCCGATTACTATTTATAGGACAGGTTTTTGAGCCAACTACACTCAAGAGGGTACTTACCTATGAAACTCCATGCCAGCCTAAACTTAAGGCTATTTTTGTGACTTGTGTGCCTTCAAACTTGAACTACTTGCACATTCTTGTTATCTGACAACATGAGTTCCTTGCAGATTTTGTTTACAGTCCTTACCCAACAATTTGGATTTATTACAGGACTTACTTACATCACCTCACACTTGTGCTTAAACGCATAGCATATACATCATAACATCATACCTTAACCATTTCAAGGATCTCAAGGGTCTGTGATGCAGGTTATGGTACATCAAAAGTCCAGCAAGGGGCAAAGGGGATTTATTTTCCTCTAGCCAAGGTTGTCTACAAATCAAAACACGATAAACTTGAGCCAGGGGCTATGACCCACTCGATATGGTGAGCTTGACTCTTGAAGAAGGACTCTCAGCAACATGAAGTTCCTTCAATCAAGCTACCAGATTCAGATTCTAACAAGTTTCTTGTTTACCCCGCGAGATCCTTGAAAACATTGCATACATATATCATACATATCATTGCATAACATGTCTCCCAGTACAGGTCTCTTATCTTCTTCGCTGTTTATTTCAGCAATCATCATGTCTACTGAACCTTCCACTGAGCAAACTATCAAGGCCCTCCAGGCCCAAAATGCCCAATTTCAAGAGTTGGTCATGAGCCTAGCTAAGGGTCAGCAGGACCTGAAGACCCTGATTCTGAAAGAGAGGAAGAAGAAGAAGAGGACCATCCTGTTCAACACTGGACGCAGGTTTGGAAATGGGTTGCAGAATGAAATTGATCTGGCCACCCCATCTGGAGAGAAAGATAGTCCACAAGAAAGGAGGGCTCCTAGCCCCATAGTCTCCGACAACGAGACAGACTATGATGAAGAACAGTATCCTCCTGCTGAGGATAAGTACAAACAGCTGGAAGACCGTTTGAACGCTATGGAGATACAGAAGGTGCCCGGTCTGGACTTCGGAGATCTAGGTCTATCCTCTGGGGTGGTGATTCCCCATAAATTCAAGGTACCTGCCTTTACCAAGTATGACGAAGCTTCCTGTCCAAAGCTGCACCTCCGGTCATATGTGAGGAAGATCTAACCTTACACTGCTGATAAGAACTTGTGGATCCATTTCTTTCAAGACAGTCTCTCAGGGACTCAACTTAAATGGTTCTGTCAACTGGAAGGAGCTAACATCCACAACTGGGAGGACCTTGCTGCTGCTTTTTACAAGCAATACCAGTATAATGCCGACCTTGCTCCCACGCGTACTCAGCTTCATGGTATGTCTATGGGTACAGGCGAAGGCTTTAAGGACTACGCTCAGAAGTGGAGAGATCTTGCTGGAAGAGTCCAACCCCCTTTGTCTGATAGGGAGTTGATGGACATGTTTCTTGGGACTTTGTCTGGTCCCTACTTCAAACACTTGATCGGAAGCTCTTCAGCCGGATTCACCGAGCTAATACTGACCGGCGAAAGGGTCGAAGCTGGCATCCAAAGTGGGAAGATTCAAGAAGAAACACCTTCTGATGTTCAGAAAAAGCCCTACAATGGGAAGAAAGAATCCAATGCTGTGTATGGTCAAAAGGGTCGTCATGACCAATACGTAGGAGAAATCTTGATCTCTAATCCTACGCCTGCTCAACAAAGACAGGGGCATCAGCGTAAGGAGGTCGCGCCTAAAAGACAATTCACTAGGATCAACATGTCACTGGGCCAAGCGCTACAACGGCTGTCGGAGGCAGAGCTGATTACATTAAGGGCTCCTCTCCGGAACCCAAATACTTCTGCTCCTACCTATCATCCCAATGAAAGGTGTGCATACCACTCTGACAGTCTGGGACATGACACAAACAACTGCTGGGC